CCCACCTGCTATGGTGCCTCTGTGTTCACCTGGGCTTGTGGAGGTAAGTCTTTGGTGGGCTAATGGTTCCTATGATGAGTTTGGGAAGAGACAGATGAGAGTATTATTTAGGTTCCACTACCCACCATTGTGCTGTTTTGTTTGTGTGCAGAGGGGCTTTTTAAGGGACAGCCCTTTCCTTTGTTCTTGATCCTACTGTATGCATCTCCTTTTCTCCTGCCCATACAGATTATGGGCACTGAGGAAAACTTTTGCTATGTTCTACTGTGTCAGTTGCTCGCTTTCAAATAATTTCTGTAATGTGGGTGTGTTTAAAAATATTCATTAGAAATTAAATCCCTATGGGATTTGAATATTGCTCTGACAATGCCACCTTTGAAATAAGTGATCACGTTTTCTTGTACTACTGGTAATAACAAAGCGCAGCTCAGACCTTTTTGGCACTGTGTGCACAATTTTTTATGTTTAAAGTCATGTGAAAACTTCATCATTCACTCAGATATCTTGTCTACCGAGTGATTATTGAGACAACTTTTCCTTGTACAGATGCTGTCAGCACTGTTACTGTGTACATACAGTAACTTGCTCTCATATACTGCTAGAGCGTGTCAGTAGGGTTTGGCTGCTGTACTTCTGAAGCTGTAGTTTTGCAGAGCTTTGTGATGGAGTGGAGCTGTGGAAGAAACACTACTGTAAGACAGTTTTAAACTCTATTATAGTATAAAGGGGGCATAGTAGAGTTTCTACCAAAAATCTTCAGGCTGGTAGATGTGAAGTGCTACTGAAAAGCAGTCTCATGGTAACTCATGTTTGCATGTTGACCATGGTTTACTTTTCACTGTGTTCTGATGCTAAGATTTTGTTTCATTTGCCTTGCGACTTTTGTCTTGCGGAGAATGTGAACTGGCAGAATAAAGTACATGGCTTTATAGATGTTCCAGCCTCTGGCGGTAGGAGGCTTAAAAGCATAAAAGCTAAAATATATGCAAACAACTCATTGCTTCAAATTCAAGTTTATGAGAAAAGACTCCTCATGCCTTTCATGTTGGGGAAAGTCTAGTTTTAGCAATGAGAACTGTGTGAATGGTATCTTTAATACTTTCTCTGCTGTCCTAGTTTAAATTTTGTTTATCTTTTCCCTCCTTTTCTCTCCCACCTTAAAAAACATCCCAACCAACCAACCAAAAAAAAGCCAACAACCCCCCCCCAAAAAAAAAAAAAAAAACAAACCCAAACAAAAAACCACAACAAACCCAACCAGACCAAACCCCCCCTGCCTTTTGACCAAAAAAGACTTAGGACTATCTCGGTTAGTTTTTGCTAACAAAATAGTTATGTATCTGTGTTATTTCTAGAATTATGCTTACCTTTGGATAGGAAACTCTTCCTACCTTTAATATTTTTTTTCTTTCCTTTCCAGAGTTAACTTTTCTTTTTAGTTACCTTCACTTCTCCTTTCAACATCACATGATTTTTAAACATAAGACCACTATGCAACCTATATTGTGGTTACATGGGCAGGGTTTATTTTTTTTTTTTTAATAATTTAGAAGATAATAGTTTTTAATTAATATTTCTGCAGTATTTTTGTACTCAGTATTTAATTATTTTACTATTGATTCTTTTTAGATTATGTATCTGAAATACAGTTTTCTTCATCTCCAGTAACACTGTGCTATGATGATAGGAATGGATTGTCATTTGAATTAACGAGCTGGTTAGAGATTCCCTGTTATGTTTTTGTGTAGTGTATTAAAAAAAAAAATCTAGCTTTCTCCTTTGAGTGCCCAGAAGTATTTAATTGCACTCTTATTTTCTTCTCGCTCCCTGTTGCCTTTGAACTCTTAACTCTGGATAATCTACTCTGAGTTCCATCAGTGCATCAAAACAGATATTAGTTTTGAGAATTTTGAAGAGATTTTACTGTGGAAGTCCTTTGTATCAAGACCATATGAAGCACTGTTTATTCTTTGGTTAATTTTAATGTTGGCCCTACGAAGACCCTAAGGGAAAAGTTTGTCCCTTTCAGAAACTTACTGTCCTACAGCACTGTTCCTGTATGGGTCTGTATGTATTTATTGGTAAAATAAATACAAAAAGAGGGCAGACATCCTCAGAAAAGATAGAAGGCCAAACCTGCTTTAAACTGTAGTGATGCTTTGTATCAAAGCTAGCTTTAGCTATTCCCTATTGGTTAGCCTGACTTAAAATGTGTTTGATGTAATATGGAAGATTATTGAACTATATTTTCGCTGTTTCCTCCTCTATGCACTTGGATCGCCAGCAGCATCAGCGGTAGATTTCATTGCAACTAAGCAATAAAATTTCTATTCTTTCTGTATAGTGCTTTCCATGGACCATGAAATTATTCACATGTATGGAATATTGAGAGGTATTAACTTTTTTGAAGCACTGTCAATGTATAATTCAGAAGAGAAGTATACGTGGAATATCCACACTGTATTGCTGTGCATGGCTTGTTGTGAATTTCCTTTTTTTTAATCTATGGGAATCTTATTTTTACGCTGCATTGTTCTAAATTATTTAAAGTAATTTGTTTGACACATATTTAAATGTGCTTATAATCCTAGTATATCACTTTGTCTTACATGTTCTGCCTGATCAAATGTATTCCAAGAGCATGCTTCCCTCCTCTATGACAAGTGATACAGGATTTTGTGAATATGGGGAGTAGGAGTGTTATGGCCTTAACCTGTAATGTTGCAAAACATCTACTATACACATTCAAGAGGAACTTAAACAAGGCATAAACTAAAAATGTGAACAAGTGAAAGGAAGTGAAATACCCATTTTCAAGGATGAACTGGCTCTGATCCCTGAACAGGTACTGGCTGTTCCTAGAGGAGCAAGAGTAGCTCCGGGACTGCATGGGGTATTTTGTGGCAGAGACTAGGGTGGTTCAGCCTGGCCAGAACTGCTATTACTGCTGCTGTGTGGAGCAGGGGAAGGAAGAGGGGACACTTGGGGAGCTTGGACTATAAGGAAGGGGCTGAGATATTTTTCAGGAGAGATGGGTAAGGGTGTAGGTCACACCTCTCTTAAACCTAATATAGTCAATTGTCTGCTGACTGAACCATGGGCTGAAATCTGTTATTTCAGGCAAAGTGTCTTCCCTCTACTGGTGTGTGAAGAATCTTGAAATATCATGATTTGTTTCTTAGGTTACATGCTTGATAGTGAACAGTGGGGCACGGAGAAGCTACTGGCTAACTCGTTTTTTGGAGCAGGCGTGCTGTCTTTCATCAGTGTTCTGTGAAAGCCATTGTTTGAGGAGAAAAATCTCATGTCATATAATTTTTTTAAGATTCCAGTCTAGTCATTGCAGTTTGCAATCTGGCTTCATTTCCCCATGCTTGCCATAGGCTTCTGATTTTAAAGACGCGAAGGGAAATTGCTGTCTGGTCAAGATTCAAGATGGTTTTTGCTACTTATTCCTCTACACATCACTTCCAATGATGTTAACCCTCGCTTTTGTTGCATTCTCTTTCTTCCTGGGTCTTGCCTATATAATTATGCCTGTGGAGTGTGCTTTCCTCATTGCCTGCTGGTTTGATGTGACACTGAAGGGCCCCATCATCCATGCTGAGCTCTTTTGTGTTTATGCTATATTAATTTTCTGCTTTTGCATGTACTACAACCATCTGTATGTGAGTGGCTTACAATTTATTTCTATGTTCCAAAACCTGTTCCTTTTCAATTTTGAGCAGGAAGAATTAAAGTCCTTTTGTTTTTCCTCCAAGCCTCTCTTCATGGATGTCTAATAGTCAATTCTTGCTCTGACTAGAGTGGAACACTTGTATCCAATTTTTGCTACTAATTTTCTTTGCTCTCTCCGATCTTAATTGCACAGATATTATAATAACTTTACTTGTCATTTAGTTTGGTAACTTTGATGTACTTATTGAGTAATATCTCAAGATACTTATCTTCAAGATATATTAAAGCTTCAGAATATTTTTGCGTAGCATTTCAAAGATGTAAGTCTATTGATATGGTTGAAATCTTGTCCAAAATCTCTTATGCATCAAATGCTACCGTAACTTTCTTCTGTGTTGACAAGTGTAATATTGCTGTTCACATCTGTTCAAAAGGCTGCTACAAAGATGATTAAGATTTAGCGCATCTCACTGAGTATGTCAACTGCTTTTGTGTTGTTGGTCCTTGCCCATATGTATTAAAACACACAAGCTCTAACAATGAAATGTTTAAAATTTCACTTACTGAGTCTTTATTGAAAAGTTGATAAATAGCTAACCAGTAAAAAAACCCACAACCCAAACCACTTTTCCAAAGAAGTTTTTTTTTGCTTTTGAAAAGTTAAAGTCAGAGCGATTGTCTTGTGTTGGTGGTAAGTCCTAAGAATTATTCATGAAACGATTAATGTATCCCACTTGCCTTTAATAAAGGAGCTGAAGGTTTTTATGCTTCTCCTAAATGAATTTCTAAATAATTGGAGCATAGAAAGGCACGAAGTTTTGGATAAGATAATCCAAATAAAAAATAAATAGAACAATGTCTTAGTTATGCTAACTTGTCTTTTAATTAAGAGTAGTTTCTTTGCGTATCCGTGTATTCTATTACAATGTTAGGAGTACAGATGTTTCAGAGTAGCAAAAAACATTTTAAAACTATGCTTTCGGTAAATTAGCCTGCTTTTTCCTACTCTATATGTAATAATTGGGAAAAACTCTTCATAAATTGGTTTAGTAGTTCGCTTTTGCTCCAAACTTTCCATAAAATTGTCATGTTCTGCATGACTTCTGCATAACATAGTGGGATTCTGGTCTGTTAACTCAAGAGCTAAGGCAACTGACCACTATATATATTTTGAGGAAAATGTTTTAAAATAAGATGGTTAAATAACAGGCAAGTTACCAGAGAAAAAAATAAGGATGTTTAGCTTCCAAGAACACCCATCGTAATTAGGGTTACATAGAATGAAAACAGTATGTAATAAGTTATACCTTTTCTGTTTTCAGTTGGATAGATTTGCCAGTATAAGAATTCCAGGAAGTAAAAAGGAAAGACCTCCTCTGCCACATATGAAGCAGTCACATTCTACAGACTGGTCATCCACACCTATGGATGCGGAGGATTTTGCTCCAAAACCCCTGTCAGAAAGAGAAATCATAGCACTATTTGAAAAAATGATGGTAAGATGCTGATTTCTTTTATAGAATGACAACATGGCTACCTGATAAGTGGAGCTTTCTTATGTGCATATGTTCTGATCATTACGTGAATTATTAATATTTTTGTTGTTGTGAGTTGCAATTACGTGTTTTTAGGGTGTTTCTCAGAGAATGAGGTCTTTGAATTATTTTGACAAGATTTTGCTCCAAATACATTTAAAATGGAAGCTAATGGTTTCTGATTATTACAAGTATGGTTATGCAACGGATTTTGAGGAAGAACCAGAAGTGGGGAATCCTGCTTGCTTTCAAGATGACATGAAACTTTTACAAAGGGATTTTATGCCTTTGAATGTCACGGCAGGGTTTTGTTCTGAGCTTATATTCCATGTCACGTGCACAAAAAAGACTTTAAGTTCTTGCTTCTAAAACATTTGTCTGCACGTGCAGTCTCAAATTTGCTTCCTTCCTTAGCTGTCATCGTTACTGTGCTACAAAAGAGAGGTCACTTGCTGGAAAGATCATGTGGCATTGGTACCATCTCAATAGGTTGAGGATTTTTTGTCGTGATGATGATGACAACATTTTGGGCAATTGAAAACTAAACATGGAAAGGCCATAAGAGAACAATGTGACTGCAGTCTGAAGAGAACAAGAGAACATTAGCAAGGAGAGTGATGCCAAGGTTGTTATTTCTTCCTCTGCCTCTCAGCAAGTATCCCTTGAAACACAAAGGGTCTACCAGGGGCTGGGATGTGGAGGAAATTAAAGAACCACCTTTTATGGAATTTGTAATTACTAGTATTCAATAATGTTAGTTTAGTTTTGAAGATGCTTTTGTAGAACTGTTGAGAGCTATGTCTGAGAGACAAGGCTCAGGATTTTCACAGTTAAGCTGATGAAGGGGAGGACTAATTTATTGTATTATCAACTTTTGTCTTTGTACTTGTTCTCCCATGGTACATATTTTTTTTTTTTAATAGCCCAATGGTGAGGATATTTTACTTCTGTTAAGAAATTTTACTGTGAATGGTAGTTGTTCCAATGTTAGGAAACGGGAGACTTTTTTTAATAAAACTTTACGGTATGCCTCCCTGTGCACACCCCTTGCTACATAAGTGTAGGTTCTATTTTTCTACCATCCCACAGAAATTCTGGCATAGGATATGTGTGATGTTGAGACTATGCCATAAAAAAAGGAAACTTTCAATAAATCCTCAGAAACCTACTACTGTGTGTCTAGGTAAACAGAAATGCTTATATCCATGGATCCTGAAGCAATTAATTCCAATTTTATAACCACTTTGCAAAAATATTTTAAAGTAATGATGACATTCTGGATGATTTGAATGCTTTCCTAGTTTCATTGAATAACAAAGCACTTAAAGCAGTTTTATCAAAGACAGTTTATCAGTGTTATGTTAGCTATAACATGTAATACAGAAAGGGTTCTTCAGATTATCCATACTTGAATGGACTGGAATAAAGCTAGTTTAGTCACAGTAGATTACATAGCTAATTATATATTGTAGCCTCTAGTTTACTGTACTGATCAAATTAAGTGATTTGGGGAAGTGGAGTGGTGAATAATTTGAATGTTGTAGCCAGGCTTTTAGAGCTAATTTTGCACAAAACAAAAATAGTCAATTGGTTAGTGCTGAAGGGAGCAGTTTCTAAATTCTGAGGTTTCACTGAATGGGTTACATGATACTTTGGGTTCTTCTGGATGCATACTGCTTCCTTCTCCCAATCTTTTATGCAGAGGTGTCGTGTGGTTTTGATAGCAAGAATTATGAAAGAGCTCATAAAACCAGACAGTTAAAGCTAATAATTAACTGTCATTTAACTCCTTTCATTTCTGTTAGTGCTATTAGGAAAATATTCATGTGAAATAACTTATTCTTATTTTCCAAAGAGGTATTGCTCACCTGTAGGATAAGTTTAAATGGGTTAAGAAGAAATTAAAGAATGGAGTTGAAGTATTTTATAAACTGTCACATCTGATGTTCCCCTCGTATCACTGAATACTTCTAATCTGTATGAATAATTTGCTTTAATGATGTTTCATTTGTTAAAAACAACAAATAAATTACTTTTTACTGCACACACAGATGGAGTATTTCCTATAAATAAATCTACTGTTACATCTAGGATTATGGAATATAGTTTTTACTGGCAGGTTTCTTACTTCAGCCTCCCCCCCTTCTTCCCCAGAAAAAACAAGCCCTTTGTTTTCTCTTTGTTATTTAAGTTTAGAAGTTATTTTTCAGAAAACTTAAAAGAGCATGTCTGAAAGAACTGCGAAACTGCTTTAAACAGAAGAATGAACTACGGGCTAATGTGAAAAGCTTTGTTTGTTTTCCTTACCCCTTAGCTAGGATATACATGCATTTCAATGTTGTTATGAGAAAAAACAAACCTGTGGCATGTTGCAGGCAAGGTACTGAAGATGTGATAACTCTCAGAAAACACTGAGAAAGACCTAGCCATACATTTTTGTGAAACTTAAAATGGAATACTTTGGTTTTAGTGTTCTTACATTTCTGTTTATGTAGGTTTTAAAAATACAATTTAAGTATTAAATAAAATACAGCTACCCTTATTAAATATACATGTAAAATGTATTTTCATTTGAAGCCAGTATTGCTGTACAATTGTATCCCTGTGGAAAGGAATCCTGAGGCACAGCATTCCAAAGACACTTATTGGAGCTTGCAGAAAAAACCAAATTTATCTGGTAATGTCAAGCTGGACTTGATTTTTAGTAATTTCTAGTAAAGATTGTCATGTGTGTATCTCAGCAGATATGTTGCCTGGTAATAAGAGTAGTCATAAATATGGTGTTGTGCATTAGATAAGTCTTAAAGATTTTTGAGCAGTTGTTGAGAATTTAAAGTTGTAGTATTTTTCTGGCTTTGAAAGAATTTGTTATTGAAAAAATATTTCAAGAAGTAACTTGAAAAGAACTTTCTTATCTGTTCTTGTTTTAAATGCCTTTTAGCAGTCCCCAAATTTTTATGTCCAAAACTATATATCAATGTCGGAATTCATTGATGAATTGTAAAAGTTAATTACTTAACTGCAAAATGCTTGACCAGTAAATTAAAATATTTAGATTGATTTGTTATGTAACTGGTTTAAATTTTTAGGCTTCCACTTGACTCTTTAACAGCATGCTTAACAGCCTTCATGTACCCTTCTTTTAAGCAGATGATTACTCCAAGTTCTTGATTTTGAAATACTAAAGATGCTATTTTTTTGTGGTTGATTGTGTTCTTTCTCATCTCAAAAAAGATGACTTTTGTAAGCTTTGATAGAGGCAGGTAACTTTGAATATCTTTCACATTTTTCCCCAACGGTGTATACACACAAAAAAGATTTCCACTTTTTTGTGTGTCTTGGAAGAAAATTATCTCTTTCCATACAATATATGATCCCAACAGTGTTTTTAATGTATGTGTATTTAAAACTGATGATTTTATTTTTTTTATTTTAGTATGGATATTTGAGTCTGTACACCATTTTTGGATCACATCATTAAGTAAATCATAGTAGTTTCTTGTTTTGCTCTCATCCAAGAAAGCTAGAAAATGCAGCATGCTCTTTCAAGATAATGTCCTCAACATTTGAGTTAGTATGAGGCAACTTGCAAGATATTCAGGAATATGTATGTCCTTATGCACTGTTAGAATTTTGGTTTGAGCATAAGCTAATAGTTTATGAATTTTTGGATCAAAGGAATGCAAAATTTTGAAGAACAGAACTATGAGAAAAGGTTGAACTATGTGTGGCCTCCTTTCTTCCAGCTTGTTTAGACAAAGTTGTTTTGCATTTACTTTCAGATGCAGGAAGTAACACCAATATACAAGCTAGGTGCCAAGGAGGCAAAACATTATATTATTATTGCTGGGATGAAACAACTTTTTACAATATGCACCTTCTACTTATTTGATACTAAAAGAATCAAATAATAATGTAGTGTATATATAGTATCAAATCTACAAATCTGATACTATAAATATGCTATTTAGTATCAAAACAATAACAATACTAATGTAATAAATAATAAGTAATAATTTAAATGCATGCTAGACTGAAGTGAGGGAACTTCTTCTAGCCCTTAAGGAAAGAAAACAAAAATATTTGTGGGATGAAAAATCCAGAATCTACACAGAATTGCCCTAATTGTACTTTGAAGAGGTTCAACTTCATGGGTCAAGCATTTTCTGCAATGTCTTCTCACAGCTTGGAGTTAAACAAAACTCTAGATGTTTCTAGGAACTGTGCTTGATTCTGTCCTGTTCAATATGAAAACTAGCAAAAGACAAGAAAACTTAAGTTTCAATGTAGTATAAAATTTTGGTCTTTTGATTTTTTTTTTTTTTTTTTTTTTTTAAATCTAAGGTTATGAGTTTGCTTGCTGTTTGTCTTTGATTTCTGACTAGGTGAAATAGCTTTGATATCAAGATGGTTACCCACTGATTGTATAGCATTGTTCCTGCCAAAACTGATGGGGATTCACCTTGTGAGTCTCAGCTGAAAATAACTGCAGTAATTCTTGCTAAGCTTGGGTGACCATAGTAATGATGTATGTGCTCGTATGTGTGTGTGCCTCAATTCTTTCATACAGCTTTTTTTTTGTTTGGCATGGGTGGTTTGTTTTTTTGTTTGTGGTTGGTTGGGGGGGTGTGTTTGTGTGTGGGGTTTTTTTTTGTTTGTTTGTTTTTTGTTTTTTTTTTTCCTCCAGCATGATAGGAAATGTCATTTCTCACAGATGTGGAACTGATTACAATGATCAGAGCTTTGCTAGGCTGGAACAGTAGAAGTTGTGTCAGAAGTGTTAATGAATGGCTGCTGTGTGGCTTTGAATATGTTTCTGCATCTGCTCTTTTTGACCTCCGGGTTTATGTTGGAAGGAATGAAGAGTGATAGGGATTTTGATAACAGTTGAAGTTGTTGATTTAAGGATCAAATCATCAAGAATTTGGGCCTTACCTATTGCGAAGGTGAATATTATTTTGTGAACTACTCTCACGACAAAGCAGATTTCGCTGTGCAGGATTAAGTATTTGGGAACTGAAGGACAGAATTACAGAACAAACAGATACATCACTAAAAGATCTTTCTAAGAGACTGGTTTGAGTAAATTTATAATTGTTTTAGGAAGCATTAAATAATGCTTTTCTGTAGTTTAGTGTGTGTGAAACAGTAGGTGTTTGCTAAGAAAAGATTATGCTAGTAACAGTTGCAATGAACGTGTTTATCCTGGCATAGTTGACTTTTTTTTTAGTCTGAGTTGTTAGGGAAGACGGATAAAGATTTTTATGGTTTTGAGTAACATCTAACTTATGAAAAGCTGTTTATATAACAGCTTTCAGTTGCTCAAGTTCTTTTTTTTTTGTCTATTTTTTTTAAAATCAGTCTCTTGTAATTCAACAACTGTGTTGTTGGATGACATTTAAAACTTTTTTTTTCCCCCTCCCATTGTAGGAAGATATGAACTTAAATGAAGACAAGAAGATGCCATTGAGAGAAAAGGATTTTAATACCAAAAAAGAAATGGTGATGCAATATATTAGCACTGCTTCAAAGTCTGTAAGTACCTGTGTACCAAAAATTACTTAATGTGTACATTATTTCCTATTGCAGAGAAACAGTGATGCATGCATGTTACATTCTTTTGACTAACTTTTGTTTCTTATAAACACAAACATTTTTAAAGGACACTATCTTATTATTTTACAAACTGCAATGAAATATATTCACTTGTACTTATATTCACTTCTGTACACAGAACAGCATTTCTTTTTGGTAAAGATATGGCTATTAGTGGAGATGGAAAGATTCTGCAGAAAACTTCTTGGAAAAGTTTCATGTGAACTTTTTTTCTTTTTTTAGCACTGTTTAAAAACAATTCCTTAACTGATTAGCCTTTTTCATACTTGACTTCAGTACAGAATTCAGTACAGAATTGCAATGCTATGTAATAGTTGATAATGAAAGTGTTGCACATGAACAGTGCTTGTTTTTTACTTATTGTGATAATTACTGATTGTTTTAGAGAAGTGCAAGAAGTTGTTTACTAGGCAGTTTAAGCATTAAGTTGATAAAGAAAAACTCTCTGGTTTTTGCAAAGTGGGGACTGACTCAAGTGCTAAATGCTGCAGTGCTAATATTGTCCTCAGACTTTTGATTGTTTTAGAATTCATATATTTGATTCTTTGACTCTCACTGCTCTATCCATGTAGCGATATCAGTAAAAATAGCCCATATGTAATTGTAACTAAATACTGAGAAAAGAAGATATTAAATATAGTAATTTATCTTATCGTGTAATTTAAATTATGTACCTTATTAGTGTATTGCTGTAGCACTTTTAAGAAGGTAGATGCCTAGTGCAGAACTGAACTGTCTGGAGGTTGTTTTATTGAAGAGGAGCTTGTCAAAGCTACTAGTCCTTCTATAGCATAAAAGTTCCTTAGTAGAAGATGAAGAGGTCTAGCCTGTTCTTCTTTCTTAGAGATATTTAATGGGAAATAAGGAAACATTAGGCTAGTAAATCTCACAACATTCTTGAAGTTTCTCAGCCCAAAACAGCATGTTGAGGTTTACATGTCACTGACACCCCTAACCTCCACACATTCTAAGATTTCAGTTGGTTGATCCAAAAAATAATGTGATAATAGGACATGGCTGGCTGTGCGGAGTTGCTGCATTCGCATTTGTTGCTGGAATCTTAGCATCACGATGATGAGGGTGTTAAGACTTGCAACAGAAAAGTTTTTCATGTTAGCTTTTAACTTCCTGAAACATAATATTTGCAAAGAATTGAAGCTTATAGTGGGGTTGGTTTCATTGATCCTTCTTTGAGTGCCATTTGCAATAATTTTTTTTTTTCCTTTGGTTGTCGTTACACTTGCTTTTTGGCAATGGAGCTTCTTGCACTATGCCCAAAGCAGCCACACAAGGTACTCAGTTGAAAAGGAGAGATCTGTTTCCTCCTTCAAGGTAGTGATTAGTTCCCACACGCTGTTCTCTTCTCTAGGCTGAACAGCCTCAACTCTCTCAGCCTGTCTTCATAGGAGAGGTGCTCCAGCCTTCTGATCATCTTCGTGGCCCTCCTCTGGACTCACTCCAACAGCTCAATCTCTCCTGTACTGGGGCCCCCAGAGATGGAAGCAGTACTCCAGGTGGGGTCTCATGTGAGTGGAGTTAGAGGGGCAGGATCACCTCCCTCGACCTGCTGGTCACACTGCTTTTGATGCAGCCCAGGACACGGTTGGCTTTCTGGGCTGCAGGCACACACTGCCGGCTCATGTGGAGCTTTTCATCAGTCAATACCCCCAAGTCCTTCTCCTCAGGGCTGCTCTCCATCCATTCTTCACCCAGCCTGTAGCTGTGCTTGGGATTGCCCTGACCCATGTGCAGGACCTTGCACTTGGCCTTGATGAACTTCATGCGGTTCACACGGGCCCACCTCTCCAGCCTGTCAAGGTCCCTCTGGACAGCCTCCCTTCCCTCAGGTATGTTGATCACACTACATAACTTGCTGAGGGTGCACTCGATCCCGCTGTCCATGCCGCCGACAAAGACCTTAAACAGCGCCAGTCCCAGTACCGACA